CCTTCTCAGGTGGATGTGAAAGAAAATACTATTTTCATAAAGAGAGTTGGATTGTTCTTCTTGATGGCTTTAACCCAGCAGTATTAATTGGAAAAATATCTCATTGCTGTTTGCGGAAGCTTGCTGTGTACAAATTGGCTGCTATATTATGATGGTGGCTTGTTGAATGTGACTCCAAAGTGTTTAAGGAACACACGAGTCATGACAGGTTATATAAAAATGTAAGTCTTTCATGTTTCCTACAATGGTTCAGTTAGTCTACTATCTGAGTCTCAGCCAACCATAACAGAAGGATCTCCCTTCATCATTTTTGAAAAGCTGATCCATTCCTATTTGAATATTCACATCCAATGCAGCATGAGATGGTTCTGCAAAGACTTTAGCCAGCTGAGGCTGGGGAAGACAGATATCCTCACATTATTCAGTGACTACTGGAGCAGCACTTTAGGGAAAAGCAGAATTGGGAGGTCATGGTGACTTGCTCTGCCAGCAAACTGAAGAGGAACTGGGACTGTGGTTCACCTCTGAGCATATGCTGTGTGTGTTAGGAGACTAAGCGCTCACATTCCCCATTTGTCATCACAAGTTCAGTCACGGTCACATCATGGTCACATGATGCAAGTATCATGAGTTCTGTCATTATCACATGATGCTGACATCATCACCATCGTCAGCATGATGTGAAATGACATCATGCATGTTGCCATTGTAATGTGTGATGACATCATTGGTGTTGCCGCCATTGTGTGATGACATCAGTGGTGCCATCATTACGTGCGATGGGATCATCAACGTCACCATTGTTATGTGCAATGACATCATCAGCGTTGCCATTGTTACATTGCCTTGTCATCACTACAGGCAATGATGTCATCAGTGTTGCCGTCGTTACGTGCGATGACATAATCAATGTTGCCATTGCAATGTACAATGACATCATTTATTCTGTTATTATCACAGAATGCTGACATCATAGTGTGACATCATTGCAACTGACAGTCATCTCGGAAACCTCAAGAGTAAGTCATTTTTGAATATCAACATTTAAGTACGAGGCAAGTTATATTTATACTTTAGGTTGACGGGCCATTAATATTGGATTGTGCAAACGTCAGAACAATGAGCAGGAGTAGGCCATTCAGGCCCTGGAGCCTGTTCCACCAGCAAGTACGTTCACATCAGACTGATCAGACTATGGTTTCCAAACCAGTTTGCTGTTTGCCTCCACTCCCCCCCATCCTCCCATAACCCACAACTCCCTTGTTGATCTAAACTCTGTCTAACTCAGCCTTGAATATGTTCCCTGAGCTAGCCTGCTTTATTCCCTGAGGGAGAGAATTCCACACACTAATGAAATGTCTCCTCATCTCCATCTTACAGGGGAGAGGCCTTCTTTAGTATGCTTCTCCCCAATTCTAACTTACCCACCCCCTCCCAGGAGGGGGAAACATCCTCTCAGCATCTACCCTGTCAGAACTCCTCCCCCCCCCGCCTCCTCCCACCCACTCAGGATCTTGCATGTTTCAATACCATCCAACTGAGTACTTGGGCCAAGTGATGACTGACTATACATATGTTGGCCAACATAGGGCAGTGTGACTATTGGCATTGCATTGTAGTATGCTAGAATGAGGGGTAGGGCTGCTATTGACACCTCTCTTTGGAGTAGACAAGACATAGATGCCTCATCAGATGACTTTAGATATTTACAAGGTGATTTCCCTCTCCTTGTGCCTGTGATCTACAAATTGATGGAGGTCAATCGCTGCGATGGGTCAACAATTCCACTGTTGTTGGATCTTGAGATGATTGGGATGGCCATTTCTCGACCAGCCTTACTTATCTCTTCAAGGATGCCTCATCTCAGTGGAAACCAATTCTCTGGGGCCACCCAAGGGAGCAGCTCTTTCTCATATCAGAGCTGCCCTGATCACCATCTCAAACTGATCTGGGATGTTCTCTAAGCACATTGGACCTCAGCATGCTTTTTCTCTGAGAGACAAATCATGTCTTACAAACTTGCATGAGTTTTTTTGATGAAATAACCAAGAAGATTGATGTGGGCAGAGTGGTAGACATTGTTTATTTGGACCTTAGTAAAGTCTTTGGCAACATTCCCCATGGTACACTAATTAGTAAATTTTTAGACCACGTGGAATTCAGAGTGAGCTTGCCAATTGGATACAAAATTAGCTTAATGGCAGGAGACAGAGGGTGATGGTGGAAGGCTGGTTTACAGACTAGAGGCCTGTGACCAGTGGTGTTCCACAGGGATCGGTACTGCGTCCACTTTTGTTTGTTATTTATGTTCATGTTTGGATGATAATATAGAAGGTGTAGTTAATAAGTTTGAGATGACATCAAAATTGGTGGTATAGTGGACAGTGAAGAAGGTTATCTAAGATTTACAAAGTGATCTTTATTAATTGGGTCAATGAGCTGAGGAGTAACAGATGGAGTTTACTTTGGATAAATGTGAGGTATTGCATTTTGATAAAACAAACAAGGGCAGGACATTTACAATTAATGATGGGGCCTTAGGTAGTGCTGTAGAACAGAGAGGGGTTCAGGTACATAATTCTTTGAGGTTTGCGTCACAGGTAGACAGGGTGATTAAGAAGGCGTTTAGCACACTTGCCTTCATTGTTCAGAGCTCTGAATATAGGAGTTGGGACGTCATGTTGGGGTTGTATAAGATGTTGGTGAGGCCTCTTCTGCATTACTGCGTCCAGTTTTGGAATGCACTGTTATAGGAAGGATATTATTAAGCTGGAGAGGACTCAGAAAAGATCTACCAGAATATTGCTGGGAATGGACAGTTTGAGTTATAAGGAGAGGCTGAAGAGGTTGGGACTTTCTCACTGGAATGTCGGAGGTTTATAAAATCATGAGGGGTATAGATAAGGTGAATGGCAGGTGTCTTTTCCCCAGGATGAGGGATTTCAAGACTAGGGGGCATATTTTTAAGGTGAGAGACGAAAGATTTATAAAAGACATGAGGGGGCAAATTATTTACACAGAGAGTGGTTCATGTGTGGAACAAACTTCCAGAATATGCGAGTACAGTTATAACATTTAAAAGATATTTGGATAAGTACATGAGTGGGAAAGGTTTGGAGAGATATGGGTCAGGAGCAGGCAGTCGGGACTAGTTTAGTTTGGGATTAGGGTCAGCATGGACTTGTTGGACCGAAGGGTCTGTTTCTGTGCTGTATGACTCTGGTAACGTGCCAGGTCCAGTCCCCCAGGTTTCCCTGGCACAGCCAATAGCAAGATGCTCTTGGTCAGCAACCTCCCCGCCATTGGCTTTGGACTGAAGCAAGAATCAAAACTGACAATACCCCATGGGATAGGATCATTTGGGCTTCAACACTGGGAGGCCGATGGCATCTGGAAGAATCGGAAGATAGAAAGATTCGCATTTGTGCCACGCTTAAGCGCCTCACAGCCAATGAAATGCTTTGTGAAATGTAGCCATTGTGGTCTTGTAAGGCTTTTACACAGGAAGATCCAAAAGTAGCAGCAAATTCATACTCAGGCAACCTGCTGTTCTTTTCAATTCAGGGTGAATAGCCATGGCCTTTCCCCGAGGGCAGGGGAGTCCAAAACTAGAGGGGCACAGGTTTAAGGTGAGAGGGGGACGATTTAAAAGGGACCTGAGGGGCAACTTTTTTCACGCAGAGGGTGGTGCGTGTATGGAATGAGCTGCCAGAGGAAGTGGTGGAGGCTGGTACAGTTACAACATTTAAAAGGTGTCTGGATGGGGACATGGATAGGAAGAGTTTAGTGGGATAGGGGCTAAATACTGGCAAGTAGAACTAGATTATTTTAGGATATCTGCTCGGCATGGATGAGTTGGATCGAAGGGTCTGTTTCCATGCTGTGCAAATTTATGACCCTATGTGGGTGTCACTGGCTGGGCAGCATTTATTGCTCATCCCTAATTGCCCAGAGGGCAGTTAAGAATCAACCACACTGCAGTGGGTCTGGAGTCACATGTAGGCCAGACCGGGTAAGGATAACAGTTTCGTTCTCATTAGTGAACCAGATGGGATTTTCCAACAATCAACAATGGTTTCATGGTCATCATTAGATTCTTAATTCCAGATTTTTATTGAATTCAAATCCCACCATCTGCAGTGGCAGGATTCAGGTCCCCAGAATTTTACCTGGGAATCTGGATTAACAGTCCAGCAAGAATACCAGCAGGGGTTAGGATCTGGAATGCACTGCCTGGAGATGTAGAGTCAGTCAAGAGAGGCATGGGATGATCATCTGGATAGAAATAACGTGACGAGAATATGGTGAAGAGGCAGGAGACTAGCATGGAGGTCACAATGCTTGCTTGAAGAGGCAGGGCAAGCATGATGGGCAAAACAGCCTCCTGCTACACGATAAGAATTCGGTGACACTGCTTTGGCATCTCATCTAGAGGATGGGATAACGATTGAGAAGACAGCATCATTTTACTGCTTGGGTCAAATTTGATTTGTTACAAAGACAGAAAAAAAGAACCTTTCAATGCCATAGCAGATGCATTCTAAGCCCTAGAGACAGTAAGAACTGCCGATGCTGGAGTCAGAGATAACACAGTGTGGAGCTGCAGGAACACAGCAGGCCAAGCAGCATCAGGGGAGCAGGAAAGTGGACGTTTCTGAAAAAGGGTCCCCACCTGAATTGTCAACTTTCCTGCTCCTCTAATGCTGCCTGGCCTACTGTGTTCCTCCAGCTCCACACACTGTGTTACCTCTGCACTCTAATGCTGCTGTGTATTCGCCTTAGCCCAAAATCCTGCTCCTCGTACTTGAATCCAACTCCCAGCATCCAAAACAGCCTTTTCTCCCTCATCTCCCTGTGCAGCTTCTGCGCTAACACTCACATCAGCCGGTTGCATATTCCACTGTCTTCTGGGTTCGAGCTTTGGGGCCATCAGAGAGATGTAATGGAAAGGGAGGGGAGGCAGCTGCGACAGAGGTAGACACGCTGGGAACTGCTGCTGATCGAAGAGATCATGCGTGACAGCTCCAGCCAATCTCTGCTGCATTGCAGTGGAGAAAGAGAGAGAGAGAGATAGCTGCCTGAGGGGGTGGGGACAGCATCTCAAAGCTGTCTCTCTCTGTCTTACACACACACAAATACCGCTCCTTGCAGGGACATACAAAGAGCTCCGTTCAGCAGTCCAAGGCAGAGCGAAACATTTTTCGGAAAAAGGTCAGTATGTGTCTCGTTTTCTTCCCAGGTCATTTATTTCCCCCCCTACCACCACCTCAAATATTTAATATTTACCCGAGCTGTCATCCACCCTCAGTTTCCTCCTGTTATAATATCTGGAGATTTGCTTTCATCTCAGAGACGTAAGATGGCATTTTAAAACATTTTCTTCACGTTTAAAAACCATGCCAATTTATTAGCTGCAGGAGACATTAGTCAGAAAATGTTTATTTTGTAAATGCGGTGAAGGCAAATTTTTTTTTGAGCATCGCCTTCAAATTTCCCTATCTATTTTTGCTTATGTCTATTTCTGGGTCAAGTGGCCTTCAGAGATTTGACTGTGTATGGGTAAGACCAAAATCGGGCATCTCTTAAGGAAGATGCCAGTGGCTAGTACAAGAGGTCATTTTTTCCCAGACACACAGGAGACATTCTGCAGAATGGTTACAGCTGCTTCTCTAGGGTGGGGCACACCTTTCATCATTAAATCAGCAAAACAATGCAAATTCAGTCTCTGGGAAACTGCTGAAGAGCGCAGGGAGAGAGAGAGGAATTACAGTCTGGAGCAAGAAGTTGGGGGGGGGGTGCGGATTTGCCAAATTATTTTCAACATTGTCGATTGTTTAATCAGAGAACTGGAAGGATCCACAACCAAGGGTCAGCTGGGAAGGTGGTGATCATTTCTGCTGGTCATTCGGTTATTCCAGATTCTGGGCAAATGCTTTGTTCAAATCCCACCAAATACACAATCCAGCCACCTCAGAGATGAATTTAGGATTTGTGTCGAGATCTAAATTGAGCATCCCTCACGGAGAGTGTGCAGCACAGAGGACGAATTAAATGCAATCTGTTAATTAATCGACTTGGAAGAGTCATAGAGATGTACAGCACGGAAACAGACCTTTTCTGTCCCACTCGTCCATGCTGACCTGATATCCTAAATTGATCTAGTCTCATTTAGATGCATACAACTGTACAGCATGGAAACAGACCCTTCAAGTCCAGTTCAGCTATGCCGACCATATATCCTAAATTAATCCCATCCTATTTGCCAGCATTTGGCCCATATCCCTCTAAACCCTTCCTATTCATATACCCATCCAGATGCCTTTTAAATGTTGTAATTGTACCAGCCTCCACCACTTCCTCTGGCAGCTCGTTCCATACACGCACCACCCTCTGTGTGAAAAAGTTCCCCAGTAGGTCCCTTTTAGATCTTTCCCCTCTCACCTTAAACCTATGCCCTCTTGGTTTGGATTCATCAACCCTGGGGGGAAAGACCTTGGCCTATCCATGTCCTTCATAATTTTATAAACCTCTATAAGGTCACCCCCCAGCCTCCGATGCTCCAGGGAAAATAGCCCCAGCCTCTCCCTGTAGCTCAAACCCAATGTTGGCAAACATCTTTGCAAATTTTTTCTGCCCCCTTTAAAGTTTCACAACATCTTTCCTATAGCAAGGTACTCCAATCGTCATGAAAGGTAATTGAATATCCAAAAAATTTGCATGTGAATGGATAGATTTTATTAGCAGACGGGTACACATCTGCTGACAATTTGAAACTCAATTATCTGATGCAGCTAGAACCAGATTTGATTTCTTTTCTTTTGCTGCAGTCGTATGCACCTCCTGTTTAGAATCTTCCGTTGTGTTTTCGGTCGCACACTCCTGATCTTTGGGCATCTGGTACGGAGGGCTGAGGGCAAATCAGAGGAGGTCTGGCTGGGCTGGCTACAAACAGCAGGCTGCCGACTATCTGCCCCTCCTCCACAGCTACGTTTGTGCCCGGGTGTCCCTGGGAGAAGGTCCATCAGTGCGATCGAGGCCATTAGAGAGAAAGGGGGATAGAGTGCTTTATTTCACCCTCCAACTCCATTTTGATTTAGTCCTTTCCCGTTCTCCCTAACCAGCAACCCCCCTCCCGAGTCACGGTGGGAAGGTCGCTCACTTCTGGATAGAAGAGGCAAAAAAATATAAAGCTAATCTTTGGCTGTAGTGGTGCACTGGTAGTGTTCGTACCTCTGACCCAAGAGGCCTCAGTTCAAGTCCCCTCTGTTCTAGATGTGTGTCTACACAGGCTGATTAGAGAAAATAAAACATAAAGCTAAGCTTTAGGCCTCCTGTGGCGCTGTGGTAGTGACCCTACCTCTGGCCCAAGAGACCCAGGTTCAAGTACTGCTTGCTCCAGAAAATAATAATTGGAAAATATCTATGAAACTAGCCTCGGTAATGACAATGATCAGCGATTGTGGTAAAAATTCCATTGGGTGCACTAACTGGGGAAGGAAATCTGTGGTCCTTACCCTAGTCCGGGCCTACACGTGACTCCAGACCCCACACAGCGATGGGGGTCATCTCTTAACTGCCCTCAGACTTGGCCTGCCACTTGGTTCGCGGTCAATTAAAACGAGACCTTGCGGCAGCCCATCCGAGGATTGGGGGATAAAAAAGATGGCGGAAGGCTCCTTGTTGATCATGGCTAGGCCCAGGCTGCCTGTGTCAAGCTGCCGTTACAGGAGAGGCTGTTGGTGGGAGTTCCTGTGATTTGGATCCTCCGCGATCACGTCCAACTGGAGTGTGCAGCCTCTCAAAGGCAGCCATGTTGAATGTTCCTCCTTTCCAGTTCCCATCGATCAGTGGTGCAGCACATCATAATCATGCCACCATTTCTATTGGCGACAACACTGTGTGGGATGTTTGCCCAACCCCCATACATCGCCATCTACATCCACCATCTTGGGGAAAGAAATGGAAAGATCTCCTTCATCCAGTTTAGCAGCCCACCATTCCTGGCCAGTCGGAAGTCCTCTCACTTGGGCGACATCAAGGGGAGCTCACACCAGGATCAGGGATAGTGAGTGGGCCACAAATTCTCTATCTCTGTGTCAGAGGCTTAACATGATATCCAAAAGATTGCACCTCCGACAGTATGGCGCTCCCTCAGCACTGACTTCCTGACAGTGCCCACTCCCTCAGCACTGACCCTCCGATAGTACACACTCCCTTGGCACTGACCCTCTGACAGTGCCCACTCCCTCAGCACTGACCGTCCAATAGTACACACTCCCTCGGCACTGACCCTCCGACAGTGCTCACTCCCTCAGCACTGACCCTCCGATAGTACACAGTCCCTTGGCACTGACCCTCCGAAAGTGCTCACTCCCTCAGCGCTGACCCTCCAATAGTGCCTGCTCCCTTGGCACTGACCCTCTGACAGTGCCCACTCCCTCAGTGCTGACCCTCCAACAGTGTTCGCTCCCTCAGCACTGATCCTCCGACAGTGCCCATTCCCTCAGTGCTGACCCACCGATAATGCCTGCTCCCTCAGCCCTGACCCTCTGACAGTGCCCACTTCCTCAGCACTGACCCTCCGACAGTGCCCTCTCCCATCGGTGCTGACCCTCTGATAGTGCCCACTCCCTCAACACTGACCCTCCAGCAGTGCCCGTCCCCTCAGCGCTGACCCTCTGACAGTGCCCACTCCCTCAGTGCTGACTTTCTGACAGTGCCTGCTCTCTCAGCACTGACCATCCGACAGTGCGGCACCCCCTCAGTGCTGACCCTCTGGACAGTGCCTGCTCCCTCAGCAGTGACCCTCGAACAGCACCCTCTCCCTCGGCGCTGACCCTCCGACAGTGCCCGGTCCCTTAGTATTGACCTACCAATAGTGACCGCTGTCTCAGCGCTGACCCTCTGACAGTGCCCACTTCCTCAGTGCTGACTTTCTGACAGTGCCCACTTCCTCGGTACTGACCCTCCGACAGTGCCCACTCCTCAGTACTGACCCTCCGACAGTGCCCACTCCTCAGTACTGACCCTCCGACAGCACCCGCTCCCTCAGCACAGGTGCGGAGGACGATATAAATTAAATCTAGTCTGTGAGGAAGTGAATGATTAACCTTTAGAACATTCTTCCTGGGGCGTGATTCCATCCTATTTGAAAACGAGATTTGGGGGATAATTTTGGGAATGACAGGTGGTTAAATCGATCGCGTCCGAGAGACATTTGGGCCTTTAGTTTACCAATCTCCCGCTTACCGCGAGGGCCTTCCCTCACCTGCCGACCTTGTTCTGTTGGTGCAAAGTCGTTATGGCATGGAGGGAGGCCATTCTGCCTATTGAGGCCATGCTAGCTCTCTGTCGAGCAGTCCATTTGGCCTCACCCCTGCGTTGTCTCCCTGTGAGTCTCCTTCCCTTTTCTAACTCATTCATTGTCTCCACTTCTTCCACTGCAATCCCCTCTCCACCCTTCAATGGCAAGGAGGACCAGTTTAGTACCGCTCACTGCTCAGCGATCAGTTTTCCCTCATATTCCCCTGACCCTGCAACTCTAGCCCCAAGCTTCGAACCTGTGCCTCCAGCCTGACTGGCAGAGACTAATTGCTACAATCAATTTAGCAACTGCGAGTTTTGACCTCCTTATGGCTGAAGGAGAACTGGATGAGCACGTGGCCCGAGCGATAGAGCTGCATTCCCGAAAGGACTTGTGCACAAAACACAGAAAGCTAGCACACAGGTACAGCAGGTAAGCAGGAAGGGCTAATGGAAAGTTGGCCCTGATTTCAAGGGGTTTGGAGTAGAAGAGTAGGGAGGCATGACTCCAGCTGTACCACATCTGGAGCACTGTGGGCAGTTTTGTGTCCCCTTATTTAAGGAAAGATATCATTTCATTGGAGGCAGTTCAGAGAAGGTTCATTAGGATGATCCCCAGTGTGGAGGGACAGTCTTATGAGCAAAGACTAATGGACTGGGATTCTACTCACTGGAGTTTAGAAGAATGAGAGGTGATCTTGTCAGACACAGAGCCATAGAGCACGGAAACAGACCCTTCGGTCCAACTCATCCATGCCAACCAGATATCCCAATCTGACCTAGTCCCATTTGCCAGCATTTGGCCCATATCACTTGAAACCCTTCCTATTCATATACCTATCCAGATGCCTTTTAAATGTTGTAATTGTACCAGCTTCCACCACTTCCTCTGGCAGCTCATTCCATACACACACCACCCTTTGCGTGAAAAAGTTACCCCTCAGGTCCTTTTTAAACCTTTCCTCTCTCACCTGAAACCGATACCGATGGAGTTCTGAGGAAGGGTCACTTGACTTGAAAAGTTAACTGTGATTTCTCTCCACAGATGCTACTAGACCTGCTGAGCTTTTCCAGCAATTTCTGGTTTTCCTTCCTGATTTCCAGCATCTGCAGTTGATTCGGTTTTTATTAAACGTATGCCCTCGAGTTTTGGACTCCCAGACTCTAGGAAAAAGACCTTGGTTATTCACCCTATTCATATCCCTCATGATTTTATAAACTTCTATAAGTTCACCCATCTGACTCTGAAGGAAAAATAACCCCAGCCTATTCAGTTCTCCCTATTGTTCAAACCCTCCAGTCCTGGCAACATTATTGTAAATCTTTTCTGAACCCTTTCAAGTTTAACAATGTCTTTCCTATAGCAGAGAGACCAGAATTGTACGCAGTATTCCAGAAGTGGCCTCACCAATGTCCTGTACAGCTGCAGCATGACCTCCCAACTCCCATAGTCAATGCACTAACCAATAAAGGCAAATCATTGTCATACAGATGCTTTGGTCCAACCAGTCCATGCCGACCAAGTTTCCCAAACTGAACCTGCTTGTGTTTGGCCTATATCCCTCCTCATGTTTCCTATTCAAGTTCCTATCCAAATTTCTTCTTAAATAATGGAGAGGTGCCTTGTAATTTTCCAATCCATTTACACAATTCTTGAATCTGGGCAGCTTCGGAAAGTGATGATTACTTCTGGATAGGCCATTGTGTGGATAAGACTACAAATACATTTCGGAAATATCTCCTCCCCGCAACTATACTATAAGGCACAATTTTTGTTCCACACATTTATTCATTGGAACTTACAACTGAAACAAATTTTGGAGTTAGCTGGCCAGGCAAACTTGTAACGATCATCTTTTGAATTGGCAATAGTTGCTTTGGTCAATAGTTTGTAATTTGCAACTTGGATTTATATAGTGCCTGTCATCGAGTAAAATACTTCAGAGGTAGGTTTTTCAAACAAATGTGATACCTAATCACAGAAGTGAGTATTAGATCAGAATGCCTTTTATCAAAGGGACATATTGGATTCTTAAGGGGCTTGACAGGGTCAGTGCTGACAGGGTGTTTCCCTTTATGGGAAACAGAGGGCACAGAATAAAGGGACACCAATTTAAGACTGAGATGAGGAGGAATTTCTTCTCTCAGAGGGTTGTGAGTCTTTGGAACTCCTTGCCACAGAGAGCTCTGGGGGGGAGCAGCGTCCTCGTGTATATTTAAGGCTGAGGCAGAGGGATTCTTAATCAGTCAGGGAACCAAAGGTTACGGGGATAGAGGGCAGGAAAGGACACAATCATATTAAATGGTGGAACAGGCTCAAGGGGCCGAATGGCCTTGTCCAGTTCCTATTTCTCATGGTCCTATTTGCGCCTTGTAAAACTCAAACCCATGGGAGACAGATGCTGCTTCCCCGAATGTAATGAGGGCACCGTCTGGCGCTGCCTCAGCAGAGATGCCAAATCCAGGCCTGAGCAGTGGCTGAGTCATGAATGTATTCCTGGGGCTGACAACTGCTGGCTGCAAATACAGATGGCTGACCATCCACATTTTTATTCTCTTTCATCAGAATATCTCCTCCCAGTACAGATCTGTAACCATATATGAAGCACTCTGCCTCATTTTCACCATCGGAGTATATTCTAAGGAGCAGGAGGAAGGACGATGAAACCTCCTCAGCCATTTAATGAGATCAAAGCAAATTTACTCCTATTCACCTGCACTTCATACTTTTCATGCCTAGAGATCCATCCATCACTGTCTTGAATGTATTCAGCGGCTGAACTTCTGTGGCAGAGAATTCCAAAGGTTCCCCCACCCTTTGAGTGAAGAAATCCCTTCCCACCTCAGCCCCTTTATCATGGGACTGTGTCCCCTTGATTCCAGATCCTCCCATACCCCTCCTCACACCCTCGCGGCCTGAGGGCAATCATCAAAAAGGACCCGAGGGGCAACCTTTTCACACAGAGGGTGGTTCGTGTTTGCAATGAACTGCCAGAGGTAGTGGTGGATGCAAGACATTTTGGGTAAGTACATGAATAGGAAAGGTTTGGAGGGATATGGACTGGCAAGTGGCACTGGTTTAGTTTGGAAACCTGCACGGCTTGGACCAAAGGGTCTGTTCCCGTGCTGTGTGACTCTGTCCTTCCTGTGTCTGTCCCATCGAGTCTGGTAAGAATTCTGAAACAAACACAGAAAATGCTGGAGAAACTCAACAGGTCTGACGTGGAGAAAGCAGAGTCTGTGTTTTGATTCCGTTAACGAATCTTCCTCAGAACCTGTAAGAAATCCGTCTTGAGATCCCATTTTGTTCATTGATCTCCAGAGACTAGAGATCCAATTGATTTAGTCTTTCCTATCCAGGCAATTCCCTCCTTCTCAGGAATTAGCTTGGCCAACCCACTCAATCCTTCTGCGGATAATGAGGCAAAAAATACTGACAATACTCCAAGCGCATTCTCACCCCGGCTCTATACAAATGCAAGTGAGACGTAGAACATAGCTCTGTGTTCAAATACACTCTCATTCGCGCTGGGTGGGGGAGGCAGGGAGACAGCGGTGGAGGATTGTCGGGATGTACTTCTGCCTCAACATGGTTTCAAGTTTATTATCACCATGACATAGTACAGGTGGGAATGCAGACCAGGACGGTGAGGGGCCAATTAGCCTATTCACTGCCATTCAGTCAGAAAGCAAGCAAGAATGGGGGGCTCACTCCTGTGGGAAGTAGGGGAAGAATGGGGGACTTTCTCCCATGAGGAATGGGGGACTTGCTCCCGTGGGGGAGAACGGGGGACTCACTGTTGCGGGATGTGGGGGAGAATGGGGGACTTGCTCTTGCGGGATGTGGGGGAGAATGGAGGCTCGCTCTTGCGGGATGTGGGTGAGAATGTGGACTCGCTCTTGTGGAATGTGGGGGAGAATGGGGGACTCACTCCCGTGAGGAATGGTGGGGGGAGCAATGGGGGACTTCCTCCAGTGGGGAGTGGGGGAGAACGGGGGACTCACTCTTGTGGGATGTGGGGGAGAATGGGGGACTCGCTCCCATGAGAAATGGGGGGGAACAATGCAATGGGGGATTTGCTTCCTGGGGAGTGGGGGAGAATGAGGAATTGCTCCTGCAGGATGTGGGGGAGAATGGGGGACTCACTCCCATGTGGAATGCAGGGGGGAGCAATAACGGAGGACTTGCTCCCATGGGGAGTGGGGGAGAATGGGGGACTCACTCTTGCGGGATGTGGGGGAGAATGGGGACTCACTCCCATGAGGAAGGTGGGTGGAGTACAATGGGGGACTTATTCCTGCAGGGAATGGGGGGAGAATGGGGGACTTGCTCCCGTGGGGAACAGGGGAGAATGGGGGACTCACTCCCACATGGAGTAGGGGAGAATGGGGGCCTCGCTGCCACAGCTAGCAGGTTTACTTGAAGTGGAAAAGCTGGATAAACACACAGAGGAGAAGGGGACAGAAGGATTGTGTGACGGGGAGCTAATGATCACTGCATTGGGAGGAGGCTGGTGCACAGCAGAAGGGCCGAATGGCCTGTTTCTGCCTGGTATGCTCCTAGACAAGCAGGGGTGACAATGGCGAAGCAGGATCGCTGTGCTGCCCTGTTCCGGAACTGACCCCTGGTGGTTTTACCTGGACTGTGGCCAGTTCATACAATGTGCATTGTTTCTGCTTTACATACGAAATAAATAATTCCTTATCAAAGGAATTGCGCTCAACTACCATTCTTCCTGCACAATCCCCAAGGTAGGAGCCATGCAGAGGAAAATGATTTAAAATCAGAGAAAAAAAACATAACGACTGAAAAATATGCAAAGATCTGCAGGGAACAAAGGCAACAAATATTCAATTGGAATGAGTGAGTCATGGTTATTTGTCATTCCTGGTTGTTGCCAGGCCTCAGAAGTTGATCCTGGTGATAGAAACATAGTCAACAGGAGTAGGCCACTCTGCCCTTTAATACTATCACAGCCAATCAGCCAACTCAATTCCCTGTTCCCGCTTTCTCCCCCACAGGGTTACTCCAGAAGAACTTAGCTGTTGGGAAAACTGGGTTTCAAGGCACATGACTGGTGTAAGAATCCAAACCTCAGGCCAGTGCGAGACATGGTACCAAATCCCATTTTCATCCTATTGAACCCACACTGACCCTCCGAACAGCATCCCACCCAGGCTCAATCCACTATTCCTGTCACCCTGCATTTCCCATGGCTAATCCACGCTAACATGCACATCCCTGGACACTAGGGGGCAATTTAGCACAGCCAACCCACCCTAACCTACACATCCCTGGACACTATGGGGCAATTTAGCACGGCCAATCCACCCTAACCTGCACATCCCTGTACACTATGGGGCAATTTAGCATGGCCAATCCACCCTAACCTGCACATCCCTGGGCACCATGGGACAATTTAGCACGGCCAATCCACCCTAACCTGCACATCCCTGGGCACTACGGGACAATTTAGCACGACCAATCCACCCTAACCTGCACATCTTCGGACTGTGGGAGGAAACCCACGCAGACACAGGGAAAATGTGCAATCTTCTCACAAGTCACCCAAGGGTGTGAACCCAGGTCCCTGGCATTGTGAGGCAGCAGTGCTAACTCTGGACAGCCAGAGACTTTTTCCTAGGGTAGAGGTAGCTATTACAAGGGGGCATAGTTTTAAAGTGAGTGGAGGTAGATATAGGGGAGACGTCAGAGGTAGGTTCTTTACTCAGAGAGTGGTAGGGGCATGGAATGCATTGCCGGAGAGGGTAGTGGAGTCGGCCTCATTAGGGGCATTTAAGTGCCTATTAGATAGGCATATGGCTGATAGTATAAGGTAGGGGGCAGAGGTTAGATAGACCTTAGGTTTAGGGTAAAAGTTCGGCACAACATTGTGGGCTGAAGGGCCTGTATTATGCTGTACTGTTCTCTGTCCTAACCACTGAGCCACTGTGCTCCTTACCAGCCTTACCTGACTTAGAGTCATAGAGCCAAACGGAATGGAAATAGAACCTTTAGAGGTGGACAGGTGAACTTATAGAAGCTTATAAAATCATGAGGGGTATAGATAGGGTTAATGGTACTTGTCTTTTTCCTAGGATAGGGGGTTTCAAGATCAGGGGGCACATTTTTAAGGTGAGAGGAGAGAGATTTTAAAAAGACATGAGGGGCAAATTTTTTACACAGAGAGCGGTTCGTGTGTGGAATGAACTTCTTGAGGAAGTGGTGGATGCGGGTACAGTTACAATGTTTAAAAGACACTTAGGTATGTACATGAATGGGAATGGTTTGGAGGGATATGGGCCAGGAGCAGGCAGCTGGGACTAGCTTAGCTTGGTATCATTGGTCGGCATGGAGTGGCTGGACTGAAGGGTCTGTTTCTGTGCTGTTTGACTCTGTGACCTGGGCCTACACGTGACTCCAGACCCACTGAAAAGACTCGAGCAAGACAATTGGTTCAGGGGGCAATTATAAAACCACAAATGCTAGCCTCATCAGCAGCGCCCACGTCCCATGAAGGAAATTGAGGCAGAAGTCCTAGTTGGTGCCCCAGGAGTGGGTGGAGGGGTGTTACGTTGTCCTAGGTATCACCTTTGCAGTGAGACGCTTCATCCCAAACCTCCTATACCACACCCCCACAGTCCAAAGATCCCCCTCACACGCACCAACACCCCTGTGAGACTCGCCTTGCGTGTTCCCTGGGTGTGGAAAGCCCCCTGACTAGAAGGGGAGGAGGAGTGGGGCAAAGCAGGTTTCCATGCCAACACTGCTCCCACAACAGGTTGATCTTCTCTGCTCCTTTATAGGATCTTGCTGGACTACATAAGCCTAGGCCTAAGAGCCTCAGCCTCAGGATGGTCCTTTGGATTTACTAAAGAAGAATGTTGGAATTTTGGTCGCACCTTTTGCTGCCTCACAGCCAAAAAATTCCTTCTGAAGTGTGGTCAATGCTGTAACAGAGAAAATTTGCACACAGCAAGCTCCCATATACAGCACCTTGTAACTGAGCTACAGGGAGAGGCTGAATAGGCTGGGCTATTTTCCCTGGAGCGTTGGAGGCTCAGGGGGTGACCTTATAGAGATTTATAAAATCACGAGGGACTTGCTTAGGGTGAACAGTCAAGGTCTTTTCCCCCAGGGTAGGGGAGACTAAAACTAGAGGAGCATAGGCTTAAGGTGAGACAACATTTAAAAGACAGTTAGATAAGTACATGAATTGGAAAGGTTTGGAGGGATACGGGCCAGGAGTAGTCAAGGTCTTTTCCCCCAGGGTAGAGGAGTCTAAAACTAGAGGGGCATAGGTTTAAGGTGAGACAACATTTAAAAGACACTTAGATAGAGGGGAAAGATTTAAAAGGAACCTGAGGGGCAACACTTTCACGCAGAGGGTGGTGCGTGTATGGAACGAGCTGCCAGAGGAAGTGGTGGAGGCTGGTACAATTACAACATTTAAAAAGCATCTGGATGGGTACATGAATAGAAAGGGTTTAGAGGCAATGGGCCAAATGCTGGCAAATGGGACTAGATTAATTTAGGATATCTGGTTGGCATGGACGAGTTGGAGCGAAGGGTCTGTTTCTGTGCTGTATGTCTCTATGACCCTGTTTGTGCGTTTGGTTTAGAGATGTTGGTTGGGGGATAAGTATAGGCTCCAGGACCTAGGGGCGAGCTAGTCACCTCCTCACACACACACACTTCAATAGTCATAATTTCTTTTGCATCCAGCTGAGAGGGCAGGTAGGGCCTTGGATTAGCGTTTCACCCTCACAACAGCATCTCTGGCATTACAGGACTGCCTCAGCGCTGTATTGCATGCACTGGCCTTAGTTATCCACAGAATGAGCCCACGGGTCTCTGGCATGTAAGCCAAGCTGTTGTCATGATACAAAAACAGAAGTCTCTGGAAAAGCTCAGCAGGTCTGGCAGCATCTGTGAAGAAAAATCCTAGTTAACATTTCAGGTCTGGTGACCCTTCCTCAGAACTGTCGCCATGATAGATATATGTAAAGCACTCAATCTATGTAAATGCAAGTCTTTTCTTGAGAGTTTATTGCTCCCTTAGTGCCTGTTTGCATCTCCCCAACCATTCTGGTGCCCTGATCTAAGGGAAGATAGACTGGCATCGGACACAGTATAGAGATGTTTCACTTGGTCATATGAGGTTTGGTTGTGTAGGCTGGGGCAGGTGCTCATTGAAGTTTAGAAAAATGAGAGGTGACCTTATTGAAACATACAAGATTCTTAGGAGGAAATTGACAGGAGATGTAGACAGGTTATTTCGCCTTGTGTGGGAGAGTCTAGGGCCAGGGGGGCACCATCTCAGAATAAGGGGTTGCCCACTGAGGGCAGAGATGAGGAGGTAATTTCTTCTCCCTCCGAGGGGAGTGAATCTGTGGAATTCCTTACCGCACAGGGTCTGAGGCATTGAGTATATTCAAGGCTGAGATTTTTAATCAGGAATGGGAATTGAGGGTTATTGGGAAAAGGTGGGTAAATGGAATTGAGGATGATCAGATCAGCCGCGGTCTCATTGAATGGTGGAGGACACTGATGGGCTGAATGGCCTACTTCTGCTCCTACGTCCTAGGGTCTAGGAGCACCGGTTCTGTAAGGTTGTCATTTGGTGTGAATGCATTGACTGAACCATCGACTGTGACCGAATTCCACCTCTCTCCCCTCAATTCCCCGCTCTCCCCCCAACTTTCTGTTTTTTTTTTCCAGTTCAAAGATGCTGGACCTCCTGAACAGCCAGTTTGACTCCTTTCTCTTCTGGAGGACCCCCATCCCCATGGTGGACATCTCAGAGATTGAGGTGCTGGGTCTCGATGTGCCCAAGTCCGGCGCCGGGGGACAGACCTCTATGGGCGCACCTCGCGACTCACAAGACACGGAGGAGGAGGACGGAACGCTGGCCCAGTACAATACCTTCAATTTCTGGCGAGATCCCATTGCGAGTTTCAGCGGCCTCGACTTGGAACTGCTCTGAGTTGGTTCTCCCACAAACGTCGCCTTGAATGAGCTATTAATGTATTGTTCATAACCCATAAAGTTTTACCATTTATGTGTGAAAGACTTGCTTGCTTTGCTGCCAGCTTGTCCCTGTCATCTTCGATCGCCCCTTCAAAATGTGTGTAATGTCCTTCATAGCTCATTTCTTTAGCTTCCGGTCAAGACGATGCAATGCAGGAGGCGGCCGTTCGGCCCTCTGTCTGTGTGCTGGCTCTTTTCAAGGACCATCCCGTTGCACCCGCCCAATGCCAGGGGCAGGCACGGTGGCTCAGCAGATTAGCAGTGCTGCCTCATGGCGCCAGGGACCCGGGTTCGATTCCACCCTTGGGTGACTGTCTGTGTGGAGTTTGCACATTCTCGCCCCGTGTCTGTGTGGGTTTCCTCCCACGTTCTGAAGATGTGCAGGTTAGGGTGGACTGGCCGTGCTAAATTGCCCCATAGCGTGTAGGTTAGGTGGATTTGTAAAGGGAAATGCAATGTCATAGGATAGGGGGTGTGGTCTGAATGGGATGCTCTTTAGAAGATTGTGTGGACTCGATGGACTGAATAGCCTACTCCCACACTGGAGGGATTCTGTGCTTCTACGCGCTGCATCATGACCCCGTTGCTAAAATAGGGACCCGTTTCCCTGCCCCACGACACACTGGCAATGTCGCCAGTCTCTGAAGAGATCATTTGGCTCATTGCGATGGATCCATTTCCAAACTCCCATCGACACGTCTTCATGCTCTCCCAATCGCCCTTTCATCTCCAATAAAGACCTATCCGTCTCAGTTCCAATACTTTCAATTAACCCGCACTCCGCCCCTGACATATCCCAAAATTTTGCAGAGGGGAGGCTGGTGACAGGGCATCATTTCCCCTGAATGGCTTGGTTCAAATTTTCCGGGTTCCACCCCCTGGTTCCGGAGTGCCCCCACTCTCCTACGCCCCATGTGGATATTGCTACTTTCCATCAACCTTTAACACACACCCACACACACAGCGTTCAAATCCCACCATGTCAAGTTGTGAAATTTGAGTTCAATAAAGATCTAAAGTTAAAAAAAGAACTAATCTAACGACTACCCTGATCTGGTTCACTACTGTCTTTCAGGGAAGGAAATCCACTTTTCTTACCTGGTTTGGGCCTACATGTGACTCCAGACCCACAGCAACGGGATTGGCTCTAAATTGCCCTCTGGGCAAATTAGAGACGGGCACTAAATGCGGTCTTGGCACATCCAGCGAACAAAGTGTTTTTAAAAAAATCTCAATTAGACCACCCCTTTATCGATTAGGCAGAAAAGGAACAGGGAAAAAGAGACGATTGAAGCATTAGCCTCTCGGAGAGAATAACTTTCTAATTTATTCACAGGATGTGGGCATTGCTGGCTAGGCCCAGCATTTATTGTCCGTCACTAAGTGCCCAGTTAAGTGCCGACTATTTTGCTGTGGGTCTGGAGTCACATGTAGGCCCAACCGAGTAAGGACAACCGTTCCTAAAGGATATGAGTGAACCAGAATGGGATACCCCCCACCAACATCATTAGTTCCGGATTCTTCTTCATTGAATTCAAATTTTCAACCATCTGCCACAGCAGGATTCAAACCCACATCCCCTGAACATTATTGGGGCTTCTGGATTAACAGTCGAGGGATAATACCTCTAGGCCTAACAGATATTGTTCATGGACTGGTGATTGCACAGTAGCTCGCAAAGTTGCCTCCTCTGTACAGCTTAGTTGGCCGACAGGAGGTCGAGGGTGCAACCGGCCCCTCCATACCTCGCACATTGTGCAAAATGGCCGACAGCAACTGACCCGCCCTCTCCGGCAGCCACTGTCATGGCCACCGGCTTGACCAGTTATGCTAGCCACAGCACGAACGTCCCAGTTTGAGTTCACCGTACCCATTTGAGTACATGTGACAATAAAGCTAATTCAATTCAATTCTCGCTTGACGCCAGCTTTCCCTCCCATCCGATTCTTGGGATGATGGGAAGGTTGGACAGGAGGGGCCCATGAGTTAGGGAAAATGAGAGGTGATCTCACTGGGCACTGAAAGGATGTTTCCTCCTCTGGCGGTGCGTATCTAAAACCGGGAGAGGGAGCACAGTTTTGGAATGAGGCGTCTCCCATTGAAAATGTGGAGGGAAATTCTTCCATCAGGGGATTGGCAGCCTGTGAAATTCTCTCCCTGAGAGAGCTCTGGAGGCTGATTCACTGAATATATTCGAGGTGGAGATGGACAGGGCTTTGAGGCCTAAATCAGATCAGCCCCCACCAAATGGTGAGGCAGGGTTGAGGGGTTGATTGGCCTCCCCCATCTCCTAACTCCCGTGTCCTGCTGCTTTAAGATGATGTTTTGCAGTGAAAATCCCCATCTCACAGGCTGGAATTAACCACATATGGAATAATGCATGCAATTCTGGTTGCCCTGCTAGAGGAAGGATGTTACTAAACTGGAAAAGGTGCAAAAAAAAAGATTTACAAGGATGCTACTGAGACTGGAAGGTTTGAGTTATAAGAAGAGGCTGGAAAGGCTGGGACTTTTTTCCATGGAGTGTCGGAGGCTGAGGATGACCTTATAGATGTTTATAAAATCATGTGGGGCGTGGACAGAGTGATAGCCTTTTCCCCAGGATAGGAGAGTCCAAATCTAGAGGGGTATAGGTTTTAGGTGAGAGGGGAAAGACATAAAAGGGACCTGAGGGGCAACTTTTTCACGCAGAGGGTGGTGCGTGTATGGAATGAGCTGCCAGAGGAAGTGGTAGAGACTGGTACAATTACAACATTTAAAAGGTATTTGGACAGATACATGGATAGGAAATGTCTAGAGGAATGTGGGTCAAATGCAAGCAAACGGGACCAGATTAGTTTTGGAAATCTGGTCAGCACGGATGAGTTGGACAGAAAGGTCTGTTTCCATGCTGTATGACCCTGGAAAAAGAAATTCACCTTATCTCAGTCTTAAATAAACGAGCTCTTACATTTTAAACAGCAAGCCATTAACCGTTAAGGCAAAAGGTCTGTTTCCGCGCTATGTGACTCTGTGTGCTGAAGTGAAAATAAAGCTGTTCTCAACACTGTCCCCATCCATTTGGGAAACCTGGTTGGCAGGGATGAGTTGCCCTGTTTCTGTGCTGGATGATTCTTAATGCCAGGGTGGGGACTGGGGGAACTTCTGTGACAAAGCGGCCTGGTCACTGTGTATCAGAGGACAATGCTAACAAAGGAGGCTTGGCGCTTTATTCTGCTTTTAAATTAAAGCGGTGCTTTGTTAGCCTTTGCATCATCACCCTGTTTTCCTTTGTAGAAGTATTTTACTTCGAAAACACTGTGATTGGCAAGTGGGTGCCCTGTATCACAACCAAGCTTAGATGACCACCTTCCCCTCCCCTCCACCAATTGAGACACAAAGCAGATGCGCAGTTACAATGCTCCACTCCACAATTTCTGTTCTTAATTTATCACACTCAACCGCATGGTATGTACAACCGAAAACTGACAAAAGGGGGCCACACCTCCTTGAAGAGACAGGAGCCAACTTGGCACCTTGCTGAGGAATGTGCTTGGGAACAAAATTAAGTCATTTTTAGCATGTCAGAAATGATTGTTTGCGGCTCGTTAGTGTGAATTATTTGTTTGATGCCTTTGTTGCCTTAAATGTATTAGACACCGGGTTCGTTTGTCCCAGGGAGGACCTTGTGGCGAGTACCCAGGGGCTGGCAAGTCTCCCATTCTCCCCCACTCCCCATGGGAGCAAACTCCCCCATTTGCCCACACTCACCGTGGGAGCAAGTCATTCATTCTCCCCCTTGGGAGCGAGTTCCCCCATTCTTCCCTATTCCCCACTCCCCATGGGAGCAAGTATCCCATTCTCCCCCAATCCCTCTGGGAGTCAGCCCCATCAATACCCTCTACTTCCCTCTGGGAGCGAGTCCTCCATCCTTCCCCACTCCCTCTGGGAGCAAGTCCCCCATTCTCCTCACTCTCTGGGGAAAGATGTTTCTCCTAAATTCCTACCTGGATTTATTAGTGACCATCTTATATTGATGTCAGTTTTGACGTTCCCCACAAGTGGAAATGATTTCATTGCGTCTTACCAACATCCAGTCATTCTGTTAAGTACCATTATTGGGTCATTTAACACCTCTGGTAGACGGAGCTTCTTGGGACTCAAGTTTGCTGACCACAATTTCAAAACTTAGAAGCACTTTGGAACAACAGAGAAATGCAAGCTCTGAAGAAGGGTCACTGGACCTGAAATGTTAACACTGCTTTCTCTCTCCACAGATGCTGCCTGACCTGCTGAGTTTCTCCAGCAAATTTCCGTTTTTGTTTCTTCCACTCCACTCCACTCCTGTTGGACTACAGGGCGTAATTGCTGGACCATTTCCCCATTCTCTGTCTCCCTCACACATGTACCTCTTGCCAAGACATGGTTCCACAGGGAGAAGATTCTCAGCTCTACATTGTCAAGGGCCCAATCCACACAGGGGAAAAATGCAGCCAGTTTCCTGAGTTGGAGATAGTAAGAACTGCCGATGCTAGAGTCAGAGATAACAGAGTGTGAAGCTGGAGGAATACAGCAGGCCAGGCAGCACCAGAGGAGCAGGAAAGCTGACATTTCAGGTCAGGACCCTTCTTCAGAAATGGGGGAGGGGGAAGGGAGCCCTGAAATAAACAGAGAGAGAGGAGGGGTGGGGCTAGGGAAGGTAGACGGGATGGTGATAGGTGAGTGCAGGCAGGCCGTGGTGGGGATTGGTCTTCTCTCCCACCTATCCACTCCTCCCACCTCACTGACCAATCTCCACCACGGCCTACCTGCACTCACCTACCACCATCCCACCTACCTTCTCCAGCCCCACCCCCTCCTTTCTGTTTATTTCAGAGCTCCCCTCCCCCTCCTCCATTTCTGAAGAAAGGTCCTGCTGTGAAACATTAACTCTCCTGCTCTCCTGTGTTCCTTCAGCTCCACACCGTGTTGTCTGTTTTCTGAGTTGATTTGCTATTGTCACATGTACCAAGATACAGTGAAAAGTATTGTTTTATGTGCTAACCCAGGCATATCATATTT